TATTTATGTTGATAAGCCTGAGTGGTCTGTTGACTGACCTTTGTATTTGTTCAAATAATAGTTATGGGCAGGTTACAATATAAAAATGTTTGTTATAATCATGTCTTGTGATTGTTTGACAGGAGTTTTACTTTTAAACTGTAAATGTGTTTAATTTAGTTATGATGTAAATACAATAAAAATTAAACCAAGATTTATAATAATTATCATTTTGATCCATACATTAGTAATGTCTGACTGGGCCTTGTGTCTCTTTATGTTCAGTGAACTGGGCCCTGAGGTCACAAAGGTTAAGAAGTCCTGGTCTAACTAACAAACAGATTTATTACAGAGGGAACATTAACGATAAAATGACTTGATTCAGTTTGTTTGTTGGATGAAAAGAAGACAGATGCAGCTGGACATTTATTACAGAGAGAATATTAGAAATGATACGAAACAACAACTTTGTAGTTCATTTAAAAATAGAGGGCCACAGGTTCACTGCAACGAGCTGATTGTTTTTGATTTGATTTTTGATACGACACAGAACCAGAGAGCAGCTGCAGGACTGATCCACAGGTTTATTAGAGCGAATATTAAAGATGAAACAGAACAACTGTGAAGTTTAAAAATATTTCAGCACCACAGGATCACTGAAGTTAATCAGTTTGTTTTGTTTGATACGAGGCAGACGTCTGTCACACACACGGTCCACTTCAGCACAGCCTGTGTTGGTTCTGCCCTGCTGGGCTCATTTATGAACATGTGAGTGAGACCTGGCCAGGCTGGACCTCACCTGTCATTTAATGAATGACCCGAGGGGGAACAGAGCCGGACCGGTCTGTGCAGCAGTTCAGTGGAACTGTCTTGTTAATCAGACTATTTTTTGTGGTTCTTTGTGCTTTTATGAAGTTAGAATCAACTTACCGAGGTAGTACAAGCGGTGGGAGTGGGGTCCGTTCTCATCGGCTTTTTGCACAAACTGGAAGTCGTGGGGGGCCTTGTTGGCAATCACACCAGAGTACTTCCTGCTGCAGTGGATGATGTCTCGGAGGCCCTCCCACGAGTGTTTCTCCACAAAAAACTGAGACGGCACATCCTCCATGTCCACCAGCTCTGTGCTGTCCGACAGGCCATCCACAGCCATGGTGCTCACACTCACACAACTGGTTGTTGACATTACAAAGACTGATTATATCGTGGAGAGTAGCTTTGTGCAATAATTTATAATGAATTATTTTAAAACATTATTCAGACAACTAATCAAGCATGAAAAACGTTCCTGCGACAGATGCTGTACCTTTTCCTGATGCCCTCGTTTTTGTTGTAAAGTTYGACCTTCTTGACACTTTGCATTCATTGGCCACCACACCTGGCTCCAGTTCTGTGTGACCTGATGAAAACACATTTCATATTGATTGATTATTGTTTATTCAGTCAGCAAAATTGTTCAGCAACAAATCAAAACATTACGAAACAGGACAAAATGTAAACATTTTGACTGAAAGGGTCCAGGCAGAAGCACGAGGCTTATATTTACGTCTGTCCTACACMTCTGATGAAACTAAACTACCCGTCATAATCATTACTATAAAAAACACACAAAAAACAAAGAAAACAAACAATCCWTAACAAAACAAATACAACAAAAATTTAAAGTTATTTTCACTTGTAACCCTCAAATAT